AAAAAGGACGGCTTCCCTGGTGGCGCAGTGGTTGAGAGTCTGCCTGCCGATGCAGGGGACACGGGTTCGTGCCCCGGTCTGGGAAGATCCCACGTGCCGCAAAGCGACTGGGCCCGTGAGCCACGGCCCCTGAGCCTGCGCGTCTGGAGCCTGTGCTCCGCAACGGGAGAGTCCACAACAGTAAGAGGCCCGCGTACCGCAAAAAAAAAAAAGAGCCAGGTGTGTATAACTTGTAACACGAGGCCTTCTTTTATTGCAGGCCAAAGTAATCTGTCAGTACTGGTTGCCAGGGATGCTGTGTTAAGATGGATTCTGAGGCAGTGTCCGACCTCAGTGAGATATAGTGTTGTGACCAGTTAATAGGGACAGGCAGCTGGACTGCCACGTGTTCTACTGTCCTTGTTCTAGACCTCTGTGTAAAGGCCGAGTCAGGTATTTTTTCACTTGTGTCTAAACTAAATTAGGGTTTAGAGATTTGATTATAGAGATCTGATTCTCTCCCATGAGCAAAAAAATCACCCAAATATCCTAGTAACCAACCCAAATCTCTTTCCCCATGAGGTGGGCCATCCTGGCTGGGTCAAATGGTGGCCATTGAAGTGACAGCCACGGCTTCCCACAGGCATGAATAATTCATGCTAAGGAACACACACGCTGACAGGTGTTTCCAGGAGGTCCCCAGACTCACTGATCTGGGGCAGAGCCATGTTCTGGGATGCTCTGGTCCCTCTCTAAAGGGCTTCATGCTCTAAGAGGAGCCTGAGAGGAACACACTCTGAGTCTCTACTTTCAAAGCCCTCCCCACAGTTCAGAAATCTCAGGGCAGGCCTGAGCCCCCCACCAGTGAGGATACCCACCTATCATCTGGGCGATGGTCTTCTCATACTCGGCCACTATTTTCCTGTAAGAGAAGTGAAAATAGGTTGGAACTGTGACCACAGAATGGTTTTTAATTTCACGTGGGAGCCCATGTGCTGGATATCAACAGCCTGACCACTGTCTAAGAGGACAAGTCTTATGGGTCACAGGTGGCTCAGACTACTAGGGACCCCTCCAACCTCAGCCCTCTTTTTGCACACCCAAATAGGTTCATTTTCCTAGTGCAAGACTCTGATCAAATCACTCCCTTATACAAAACCTTCTGTGTCTCCCCTCTGCCCACTGAGAAAAAAAATAAGGCCAAACCTTCAGCCTGACAGTCGAAGCCTTCTGTCACCTGGGCCTGATCTTCATCAGTCTTACCTCCTTCCATGCCATCTCGTGAACACATCGGTTCAGTGAGAACAAATGATTTCTTGTCTGCCCTGAGCTTTCTCACCTCTATGGCCTTGCCCATGTTGTTCACTTCCCCTCCCTCTTTCCACCTGTCACAGTCTATTTCTCAAGGGCCAATTCAAATGCTACCTCCTCCAGGAAGCCTTCCCTGATTTCTCCTTAGAACTCCATAACATTTTATCTGAATCTTCTTCCAAAACATACATCATAGTACTTGAGTGGAAGCTCCTCAAGGTCCAGGGACCACTTCTTAGTCACCTGTGTTGTTGAGTGGGGGAGTGGCAGGAAACGAAACAGTAGCACTTCTTGGGTAGGCTCAATAAAGAGAAGCTGCACAAAAGCACTAAGATCACTTGTTTATAAGATTAAAGGAAACTCTCAAAAAAGACTTGAGGGTTTCACCTACATTATCCAATCCACAAGAGAACCAAGAGCTACTAACCTCCAACAGATCTAGGACCTGATTGCAGCTGACCCTGCCTCTCCGAGCTGTGTGATTTGGCCAAGTCAGTAATGGACGCTGAGGGTCCAGCTTACTCCCTGGTACAGTGAGGATTACCTTAGACCCTGACTTTCGGGACTGGGGGGTGGGAATTAAATGAAGTTAAAAGCGACAGTGACAGCAGAACACACTCTTGCAAAGGCTTAAGGCCTTGCAGCTGCTGGGTGTCTGTCCCTGGCTTCTTGAACTTGGCCCCAAGGTCACTGCCTCACCCAAGGGCAGACCCACCACAAGAAAGGCAGCCACAACATGAGTGCACTTGCATTCTCTCCCTGAATCCTACACAGAGACACTTCAAGTTTTCTGTGCTTAAACAACCCCTCCTGGCACCCCTGAATCACAAAACAGTGATGGATCTCTGAGGCTGCCCCATCTAAACCCACCACCACTGAGGGCAGAGGCGGGACCACAGCAAGTAAGGGACGTGTCCTCTCAGAAGTGCTAGGAGACTGGGGGCCAAAGAAGTGGTCTCCCTAGAATTGCTGTACAGGGTCATTCAGGAACCTTTCCAGGATCCCAGGGCTACAGAGTGGCAGAGCTAGGATCCAAACCCAGGTATCAACTCTGGAGTCTTTGTTATAACCCTTCGGCTCCACTGCCTCCAGGCATTGTGACTTACCCCCATTTTACAGATGAGGAAAGTTAGACACAGAGTTAAGAAACAGATTCAGAGAACCTGCTGTATAGCACAGGGAACTCTACTTGACTCCGCTAGACAGTAGAAACTAACACAACATTGTAAAACAACTGTATCACAATTTAAAAAGAAAGAATGAAAAAGAAACAGACTCAGAAGCAGCTACAAAGCAGAGCCTGACTTCCACCTGGTCTGGCTCCAGAGGCTGACGTTTAGGGCACCAAAAACTAGTGCCTCTGTGCCAGCTGGTGACACTTGAAATCCCACCATACCAGTTAGCAAACAGCACTCCCTGGAGCCCCCAGAGGTACAGTTTCTCCCAGGAAAGCAAAAGGAATCAGAGACAAGAACTTCCAGCCTCCCCGTATGTCCTGCCTCCACCTCGAGTGCAGGCAAAAAACCAAAGCCACCCGGTTCCCTCCCCAACTCCCCCTTAGCCAAAAAAAAAAAAAAGATAAAAGAGATTTTAAAATAATGCAACTACAGGGCCTAAGTTTGAATGTGAAATAGCGCTAAGATTAAGCTCCAGAAGTGATCACAAAAACTGTCAGCAGAAAGATGGAACTAACAGAAGAATATTCAGGAAGATACTATTTGACCTAGAAAATGGGATATGATCACCTAAACACTTGCTTATTACTTAAAACGGTAGCCAGGAATATGATTTTGATAATTAGCTAACAGCACTACTGCAATTAAGTGTACTAAAAATGTATAAATTCTTCGACCAATGTTTAAAATGCATTCATTCTCTTATTCCCACACGTTGAGACTTTAAAATGAAGCCTATTATGTATTCTTGGCACAGTGCCAGACCTTCTGTCTTGTTAAAATGATTGTGCTGGAATCCGTATCTTCTCTTGCAATTGCCTCAGCTCGTGCTGAAGAAAGGCAGGTGTGTGGAGAATGAACTATGCCCCCTCCACCCCGCCACGCGCAGTTCTTAGACGCGCAGCATCTAGAACCTGGACAAGATGTGCTAACCCGGGACGGTCAGAGCAGAGGTTTGGGCCAAAATTGCTTTAAAAATGCCACTTACAATATAGTTTTAAAAGTCACATCCTAAGGGTAAATTCTAGCCCCAGAGATGGTTTCTTAGTTTCTAAGAAGATGGTGAATTGAGAAAGGAAATAAAGGGGAAAAGGCACGTGAGGAGTGAAAGCAAGAGGCAGGCTACTGGGCACAGTGGAAAGAGCTTGGGCTTCAGAGTCAGAAAGGTGGATTCAAATCCATGTTCTTGTTAACTAGAGGCTCCAGGGCCTCCGTCAAGTCACCTAACCTCTCTGCGCCTTCAAGCGGGGCTGACCATCCCCTCGACAGCTGTGGGGAGAAACAGACTGTGTGTCTCCAGCCAAAAGCACAGTGCTTAGCACACGGCAGGTACTTACCGTGTGGTAGCTGTCATACTTCTATGACTATAGGCAGCAAATGAAAATAAATCACTCAGGCGACATTTGGGAGACACCCTCAATGTTTATCGATTGAGACTGGTGAAATTAATTATGTTAGACCCTTATAAGGACTGTCAAGCACCTGTTGAACAATAAGGTCAAGATGTATAAAAATCTGTCCAAGTTACGCTAAGTTAAAAAAGAGTATAGGGTAATGTACATTTCTACACTCCACTTTTGAAGAAAAATGGAGGCTACATAGATACCTTAACACATCTGGGATCAGAAATGGAAAATTCTGGGAAGGATACACCAGAAATGGTGCATAGTAGTTACCTGAAGGGTGTGGAACCAGAGGCTGAGTGGGAAGGACATGTGTTTTCCCTTGTACCTATATTTATTTGATTGCATTATGTGACTCATGCTCATGGTATTTTAATAATAGCAATACACAAAGAATACTTCTGTGAAAATACAAACCTTGTGGAATAACGGATAACTTCTATAGAGGACACTGTTCACGGGCCACATCAGCTCCAGCTGTTATCAAACCACAGGTAAGCATCCCCCACGTACCAGGAAGCCCGAGCATCACAACTGACCTCATTTCCATCACTTCCCGCCTGCTTTCTTCATATCTATCTTTCCAGTCCGAGACCTCTCTCTCCTTGGTTATGATCTAGTATCAGGGAGAAGAAAAGGAAGGAGGTTAGTCCCAGATGAGTCAATTCAGATCTGAGCAATTCATACACCAAGACAAGGAAACACTAAATAAATATGGAATTAAAACCTGTTACACCAAATAATTATATTTAGAGAATTTCCCCGAGCATGAGATAGAAATAAGCCAAACGTGAGACTTTCACAATGTCCACAGAGAGCAACTAAAAGGCATGTGCTTTTTTGTTATAACTCGAACGAGGCCCTAAAGGCTTGTTAAACAATAGTGTCCAAGATCAAAACCCACGGTTTGCCGCCTGTCTCTGCCTGCAGTGGTCAGAGGAGAAAGTCTGTGTCCAGAGATGCTGGCTTTGTGGGACGTGGGTACATACATTTATTTACAAATGGCAGAACCCGGAGCTTTTCTCAGGGCACCCAGAGCTGGCCTTGCCTTCTCTGAGCCACACACACACACACACACACACACACACACACACACACACACACACACGCCACAGTACCTCTGCCCTGGCGATCTGGAGGGCGGAGTCCAGGTCAGGCTGCTGGAACAGAAGGCCTGTGGGTTTCTCTACCTCAGCCGTCCCGATGCGGGAATACAAGGCTGTTTTGGAGATGGTGACGTCTGTTGGGTGAGCAGCTTCTCTCTGTGGAATGGTTTTTAAAAAGTTAACATTAATCTTATGACAAAGAGAGTTGCATTCATCCTCTCATGAACGGGTCAGTTGTATGGTTTTGAAACAAAGAACACCAAAAGTATGAGAAAATGCTAAGACTAATGAATGGGGAAATGCCGGATACAATCTACGGAAATCTATCATTCTGCACCTGCACCGGCTGACAAAGGGTCTAATGGCGGACGCCTCCCCAGCTCCCAGGCCCTGGAGTCAAGCACGTCTGGTGCCCGTTTATCAATGCCATTTATCAGCCGCAGAGGCATTTAGGCACAGCGCATAAGAACCAAGGTCATCTTCCAGCAGGTTCCACTTCCGAAATAAAAGCCTGACGGTGAACAATGTTGAATTCTACTCTATGCTTTCCCAGTTTTGAGTAACCACAGATCTGATCATTTTTCTAAGACTTGTCCACATTTCAACTTCGGGGACATTGGTTAGCTCTATTTGAAAGGATATAATTCACACAAAGCTTAAGGCCTACCATAGCTCTCAACCAACATCACCTTCAACGAGCTAGTTTCTGGGTGCCGAAAGGTAAGCGGTACGTTGGAGTTACAGCGTCGGCGGGAAAATTGAAAACAGGATCACTGACGACATCCACCTGTGCCGATAAGCCCCTCGATGAGCGGTGTGATTCCCTGCCCCCACGACTGACACTGGACAGTCACAAGCCTCCTGGGAGGGAGGAGAGGTCTGTGCTGACTCTTCCTCCCTTTGCACAAATGCTCAGCCATTTCCAACACACCCGAAATGCAGCATTAGGAGCGTCGTCAACCAGTGCAGCGGGGTTGTCAATCTAGTTCTACTGCAAAAGAAATGTCAAACCAATCACACTCTCAGTCCTATTCATTAACCTCCTGGCCCGTCGTGGCTGCCAAGGCAAACCTCCACCTTGGTTACTAGAGTCCCACTGGACGTGAAGCAATGGGGGTGTAATGGGCGGAGGGCAACTGCTTTTTCTTTGGGAAATCTATGAGAGGAGATGTAGCCGTGAACAGAACACCACAGTGTAGAAGAAAGAGAGAGATGTGGGAAAGGAACGGTGAGGACTTATCTTGTAGATGGAAGCAGAGGAGATGAAAGAACCAATGGTAACTGGGAAGGGGGTGACCCGAAGGTGCTTGAGCAGAATTTCTCTCCTCAATCACGGGAACAGGCATGCTTACCCTACTGTGACCTCAGAGGCTATGAACTTGTGACAGCTTAGAAAACGCAGGTGGAAGCTTAATGGATAGGACTGGAGGTCACCGAGTTAGGAGCAGTTAGTTGTACACATGCACGATGAATTAAGTGGTTTAGGCTGTCCTGGAAGCGAGCGTCTGCTGCGTGGGTGTCACTACCCCTGCCTGGCCTTGAGTATCTGGGCTAACTCTCACATGGGACCCAGAATGACCACTGCTGGTCAGAAGGGAGTACCAGAGCCCAGGGACACGCCCACCTGTCAAGTGGGATGCCAGGATCTTCGGTGACAGGACATTTGAGCAGAACACAAGTTTAAAGCCCTCAGGAGCAGGCAGGCTGGCCTCTCAGAAGAGAGCCTCCAGACCACAGGGCAGAGCCTCTCCCATGTAGGCGTTAATCTCTGATGTCTGAGATGTTTTCAAGGTTCTACTTGTCAAATGGGAAACTTCTCAGGAAGTAAATAGAAAATTATACCTAGACACCAAGACTCAGTATTTACAATTTATCGAGAAAGTTCAAAAACACAAAATTCTGAAGAGATTTTTAAAAAACATGTTCCTGTCACAGTTAAGTAAAATAATGTATTCTTTGAAAAAAGTTAGAATAACGTTTCAAAATGGAAAGAACCTTAGACGCCATCCAACTCATCCTGGTCCCTCTGATGATGAAAAAACTGAGGATCTAAATAAGACTTGGCCAAATCGTTTCCCAGAATGAGATTCAATTCTGACCCAAGATAAACCAACTCTCTGAAGTGCAAGAGAAAATGAATTAAAACTAACTTTATCATACTGGGCAGAAACAAAATAGGACCCGTGCAGGAATTAATGATCTTTAAGCTGCCTAATGTCCTTCGTAAAACAAGGAAGGGGATGAAAAATAAACACAATAATGAGCTTTCTAAGGAAATGCAAATGGTTACTACCAGATACAGTAATTCACTATCACCGGTCATCCTGGCCACCTGGTGTTTTCAATAAAGAAACATGATGACTTAAGAATCCATTTGAATTACTACCAGAGTATCTGCATGTTAATGCAATTCAAGGTACACACCCTGGTTTTCTCTTACAACCAAGAATTGTTTTTAACTGAAATTAATAGGTTTGTCTCTTGATGATATTTTAAGATCAGACTTAGATTAAGCTTTGTTTCTCCCACATAACCTCCCACTTGCTACTTTAGAGGAACCAAAAAGCCACCAGAATCACAAATTAAGATGTGAAGGGGCCACGACTCAGACAGCATGGGACCAACGTCCAACCTCTCAATCCACTCCCTCGAATCTTGGTCCCTGCGGGGACCCCTGGGGCACTGTCGCCCGGATCCTGCCTGCAGACCTCATGCCTGGGGTCCTTCTGGCCTTGCAGCCAGGGGCTGGGGGCACTTGTCGCTCACCCAGGCTCACAATCCTCCTGGTGTCCAACCCGCTGCCGCCAGGCTCAGGGGAAGCTGCCATGTCTTGGACCAAAGCAGGATCGCTTTGGTCCCCGGGAACCAGGTGGGAAGCAGTGAGAAGGCGCAGGGGTAGGGCCCCAAAGCCGAGATCAGGTCATGGGCCAAGGTCATGGAGCGTGGACACAGGCTGGGCGCTTGTGGGGGTGTCGGGGCCACGTGGCGCCAGGTGGGCCAGAGAGCAGCCTCACCCCGGTGCCGCCCCATCCAAATCTGACAAGGGGCGGGTCTCAAGTTCAGGACGGCAGACAAAAGGAAGGCACTTGATACGTGCTAACCTTACTCCACTCCCCACAGGAGGTGCCACCAGCACCAACTGGCCTCTCCTTCCCACTGGGTCAAGACATGGCCTCAGACCTCAACACAGGCTGCAGACGAAAACCACAAATTCTTGAAACTGGCAAATAAGCTGAAACCCACGTGCCAGCCCTTTGTCACTGCCCTTCGACTGTTCTGGCGGGTTTCGGGTATTACCTGGTTAAATGGCCGGGGTGGGTGGTTTCCGGACACAGAAGGAGAAAAGGCAGCTATGCTATCAGGCCGTTCACCAACCATACAGTTGCCCCAGACCTGATTCCTTCTCCCACTGATGCTGTGACAACCCAGGCATCTTCCTTTACGGGCCAGGACTCCTGGAGGAATCACACACTGAAGACTAATACCCTTTCCCTCCCAGGGGAGCCTGTTTCTAGGACCTCCTCCGGCCCCAAAGCTTTGCCATTTGTATGACCCTTGTTCCTATGTTACCCAGACACATCCTTCCCTCTTTATATAGGGTCCCCCTAATCCCACAAGGCCAGATACTGGACCATACCCAGTATCTGTTATACACACAAATTAAATCCATCCCTGTGCCCTGCAGCCCTTGGAAAGCCATACGGATGGAACGCTTAGGTTCTATCCACCCTGGTTTAGTGGTGAATCCAGGGCTGCTGCACCTCACAGCCAGTGACCTGGTCAGATCCCCCCCCGAGGAGGACACAGCCGAACTCAGTTCCACCAGAAGTGTGTGGAAGGTAAACAATAAGGGGTCTGACACCCCAGCCCCTGTGGAGTTTCCCTCATTTCTAACGTTTTCTGACTAATGAGACAGGAAACCGCACAGCAGTGCCTGGAAGGCTGGCTTTGCTGGCCCTCAGTCTGAAGGGAAACGTCGAGTGAAGCTGCTCACAGGAGCGACCAGAAATCACCCCCATCATATTTCATGACGTTTTTCATCCCCTCAGTATGAGTTTTTTTTCATTCCAAGTGATTTCATTTTGTGTTAGCAACAGTTTAAGACCATGCTGCCAGAAACACTGGGCTAGGTCACCTGCAGCTGAAACATATGGGCAGAAAAAAGAGCAAATTGGATACACAGCGGCTGTCTTCTCTTTCTATATATCAGCACTTTCCAATGCGCTACGGGGCAATCAAGCATCTCACCAGCAAGAAACCCACAGAAACCTAATTGGGTTCAGGTACATGGACCACCCTAGGTCTGGTGAGCTACCAAAAAGAGCATCTATTTTCCATGGGCCAACGTCACTAGATGAATATACTTCTTACAAAAGTGGTACAAGTTCCTATGGTAGAGAAAAATGTCCCTCATACTCCAAGACACTTCTACCCCTACGGAAGAATTCTTTTAACACGCTCTTCTGGAATACATAAGGAGGGAGCGGGGGCTGTCTCTCCAAACCACACCCAGTAGACTCAGGTGACGGTAGTTCCTCAAACAAAATCGGGACACGTGGTCTGAGAACAGGCTTTAACTGACGGGAAGTCAACTGCTGCCGTCTCTGAGAAGTAGGCAGGGGTATCAGGCAGTCCTGAACACTTAATACTCAACTGGAAGCACTGAGAACATGTGCTCGATTCTGCCTCAGACTTCTGGACAGGAATAAACTGTATTTATAGTGACCAAACGTCAAGCAATCCATTCTGTGTTTAAGCCACTACCCAAGGACATCAAGAAATAAATCTAACGGGGGAAAAAAATCCTTACTGCTTAATGCATTCTAAAAATCTCATTTTCACGGAAATTAAACCCAAGGGTATGGGTTGGCCACAAGAACAAGGACATCAGCAATCGGTGTTTACATTCCTGTAAACACCCTATGTTCCCAGTCTGGACACCCGTGGGATGACCTTCCTCTCTCACTGAGAGATGTCTCTGGAAAGGGGTCCCCATTTGGCTCCAGGGAAACCACATGTGGGGGACCCACAGGGCAGGGCCAGCAGATGAACTCCTGATCCTGGCCCAAGGACAAGTGATGGGAGAGAGCACGGGCCCCTCTGCCAAGTGAGCTGTTACTTGAGATGTACAGGCAACGAGCTCCCAGGCTCCCAGATGTACAGGCAGCTCTCCCAGCTTCCCAGGCTCTGTTTTCCACATCTGTAAAATGGGACCTGGACCCGCTGCCTGAAGAGAGATGTTGGGAGAGTCTCATCAGGTAACAGAGGCACAAGTGAAGGTCACCTCCCAGCAGCTTTCATTGATCGTACACCTACTGTGTGCTAGGCTCTCTGCACGGCACTTACTGTCCTCACAGCAACACGCAAACTCGCTGCTATTAGCCTCTTGTCACAGATGGAAAAACTGAGGCTCAGAGAGGCTCACCAACTGGTTCAGGGCCACAGAGCACACTGGGGCCCATTCCTGGTCTGACAGCCCAGGTTCACCGGGCTGCCAACTGGGGGCGGGGTGTGGGAGAGGGAATGAGGCGGATCCTCAGAGGCCAGGCGCACCTGTCAGCCCTGGGGGTGGGCTGAACCTCCCTGGACCACGCTCCACCGTGCGTGTCATCAGCGACACATTCCAGTTGTTAAGAAAAATTACTCCAAACTTGGAAGCCAGCAAAACAATTTCTGCAGGTCTTGTCAATATCACACACTACCCTAGAGAAGGGTTGGCAAATTAGGGCAATGGCTCAAATGGCCTGTTGCCCTTTTCTGTAAAAAGGGTTTTCCTGGAACCCACCACACCCATTCATCCACGTGTTGTCCGCTGCTGCTTTAGCAGAGCTTGGTGCCAGAGTTGAGTTAGTTGTTACAGAGATCAAATAGATGCCTACAAAGCCTGAAATATTTACGCTCTCCCGTTGCAGAAAAAGACTGCTTTTCTGTAATCCTTTTGACCCTGGCCTATCTGACATCTCAGGAAGGTCTTGTTTTCACCTATTCACTATTGACTAGGATCCAGTCTCAGTATAATTAGATGTTAACTTGTAGAAAACAGAAAAGGTGCAAATTATTTTTTATTAGTAGCGAAGCAAATGATTTCTATAGGAAGAAAAACGAACCTCAAAGGTTATGAATTATCTATCCTGTTTAACTAGTATTAACCTGTTTATATCTAACTTTGCAATGTTATTCCAGCTTCCTCACCCCACTGACTGGACATCGGTTTCTCGTGTTTTCCTCCATTCAACAGGATTTACCATCCTGCTGGTGTGTTCAGTGTGTACTTATGCACAAATTACACTTTTAGCTTTTTGGAAAATCATACTTTGTCGAACACCTGCCTGGCCATGGTTAGCAAAGAAGCTTTTGGACCACACAACATTCTCAAGAGGCAGCACACGGCAGCAGCAAACCGGTACCTTGGTGTCCTGGCGGCTACGGGAAGCCAGGGTGATCTGCCTGGCCAGCTTCAGGGCTTCTATCCGCATGATGGCAAACTCTAACTCCTCCTGCCGGAGGGGTGGGAAGTGAGCAAACCGCAGGGGAAATGCACCGAGACAGGACGGAAATGTTTTCCACAGCCAAGAAACAAATGTGCCACGTGAATGTGTCATGACAGGTACTCGGGGAAACATATGCGCTGGCTTTCTTTCACAATTAACACCTCAGCAGATCATGAAATAAGTGTCTCATTTCCTTTTTTGTTTTTTTAAACCACCCTTTGGGATGTCTGGCGGTAAGTATTAAGCAAATACGAAATAATTTTTTAAATGGGATCAGAATTTTTAGTGCACTGTTCTTTCAATTTCTCTCCTTTTGTTCACTGCATGTCAAGTCGGCCAACAATTTCCACGAGTGGATTTGCATATCTCAAATGACTATTAACAATCTCTCATAAGTTTTTGCTCTGAACATCCCAGTCTAGAGGGTATCAAATTGAGCTGTCAAATTTAAAGCACAGACTGTAGACAATTGTTTTGGTGCCAGATACAAGACCTGAGTCCAGATGTTACCTCAACAGGGGTCTGAGATAACCTTGTATACATAAACAGCCCGGCTCCATGGTGAGCTAATACCCTTGGTTCCATGAATAAATCAGAGAAACTGTTTTCGGGGGCTATCAAAACTTCTAAAAAATGACTGCTTCGGTCCGTTTTCCAAATTGAAATACAAATGGTTTGTTCCACATGTAATGGCACGATTTATAGCACTCTGGCGTCCTGGGTAAAGAACACCACATACATCTGTCTTTGAGGGGAAGCTATTCCATCTGGGACATTCTCAGCAATGCTCCATTAAATCCTGCCTCATTGCATTTGGAGTTCGGAGGTTCATTCTCTACTGAGGTTTTGACCAAACTCCCCGAAGGTCACACGTAGGCTACAAACCTGAAGTCTCTGAGCAAATACTGGGGGGTTCTTTTCTGCTAAGTCGGGTTCCAGATAGTCAAGCGCACCACAGAGAGAGGCTGGATGAGCTAGCCTGCCGAGGAGGGCATCAGCAGAGGCAAAGGAGCCCTCAGGAGCTGTCTGAAGGCCGGCAGAGGAGGACACAGAGGAAAAACAGAGAGCAGAGTGATATCGCTTCCAAGCAAGGACCACCCGTCTATCGGCTGGACATCTCTGCCTTAAGGCTGAAGAGAGTATCAGTTAGGTGCCATTACTTTCCTTTTCATCTGGACTAATTCCCACATGCCGATCATGGGCATCGTGAGATCGGCGGGCCCAACCCGCTCCCCAAAAGCACAGCCTTAGGTGCCCTCTCCACCCCCATGTCACCCTCACTCCATAACCAGTTGCTAGGAGGAAAGCTACCCTTTACTTATGTACTTGAAAACCTCAGTGGGTAGGAGACAAGGTAGGTGATGGGGTTTCTAAACATAAGTCATCAAGAACATACTTTCCATTATAAACATCCAAAGGAAGGTTTGGTAAAGGTCATTTTCTGAATAGTGGAAAGATGACCTCAAACTGGTAGATCAGACAGACTTCAATATCAGAAGGTAAAGCTTGCAGAAGTTGAATCACGCATGAGTCCTTCATAGTATCTGTTTGAGAGACAGCCTAGGTCCCGTCTGGACTCTCTTTTTGCTCACTATTATTTTCCCAGTATCCACCTGCCAGACATACAGTAGGTGCTAAATAAATACTTGATGCGTGAGATAAATGAACGTCTACTAATCTGGAGCAATAAAGCAACACGCCAAGTCAATGGCCTCATACCCTCTTGGGGATTGCTAGGGGGAAGTAAAAAAAGAAAAACAGAATTGGCCAGAAGGGTGATCGCTTTTAGACGTGTGGGGCGCGTGGGTGAGGCCTTCAGCTCAGGTCTATTCGCTCTGAAGGTCCCACAGGGGCTGGGAGGGAAGAGGTTTAAGTCCTGGTCTATAAACAGGAGGGACTTCCCATCACCAAAGCCCAGGAGAACCAACTGTTCCTCAAAAGGAGAGTGTTTCCTGATCTACCATACTCTGCCCTCTGCCAAAGAGGACAGAGAAGCAGGGTACAGACTGATGGCAGCTCAAAAACCAACAGTCCAGCCCGAAGGGGCTAGAAGTGGAAAATGAATAACCCTGAAGGCAAATAAAGCACTTAGGTGAGAACTGCAAAACCACATTGGTGCGGATGGAGAGACCTTCTCTCATCATTATGGGGTGGGGTCTCCCAGGCTGGCTTCTCTGGTGGGATAGGGGGATAGGGACCCACATCAGGTACCAGGGGAGTGTTGCTCTGAAGGCCTGGCCCGAGTGGTGATAGAACCCAGCTGACCCAGGGCTCACCCGCAGTGATCTCGGGCCCCTCCAACCCCACTTACAATTTCAATCACTTCCGACGCGGTGCCCAAGGCCACGGCCTCCAGCTCTTTCTGGGAGGATTTCTCTGGCACCTGCAAGTGTGGCTCCTGGCTGGGGGCCAGCCCTCGTGCAACGGGATGCTGGATCTTTGCCCCGGCGTTCACAAGGGCTTCAGTCTCCTCAAAACTTGAGCTAAGGAAGCAAAGCGCATCTTTAGAGGTTGCACTGGAAATCCCACTGAAATTAGCCAGGATGCCCCAACTAACATAGCAAGCGATCCTAGACTTCCAAGGTTATATTCCCCGAGGAAGACGGCCAGGTCTTAGGTGATCAAGGTGTCCGTTGGCTGGATAGAGGGTGGTCCAGCCCCACGTAAGAGCCTGCTGACAAGGGACAGCCAGAAGCACAGATGCCATTGGCTAAGGGTACGAGCTCTGCAGTTAAGCAGACTGCCAACCCCTTGGCTGTGCACCTTGGCGGGAGGGATTAGGTACTGTAACTCTGTGAAGATCAAGTGAGATGCTGCCTGCACCTAAAGCACTCGACACAGTGCCAGTCATAAGGCGCCATTACTGCTGTTACAATAACATCATCATCTCATTCCCTCCACCCTGAGCAGATTCTGGAGTAGGTATGGGAAGTCATAACAAGAGCGTTCACTCCTACTCAATGAAAGCGGCAGGTGGGAGAGGACAGGAAGGTCCCAATGTTAGCATGATACCGCCCCCTTCACCCAATCCAGCACCACACAGCTCAGAACAGGAGCCTGACAAATGCTTACATTCACATCCGTATGAATAATAAACGTTTATCAGAACTTCATTTGTGCCAGGCCCTGTGACAAGTGCTTTCCTTACAGCATCTCAGTTTACTCCTCCTTTTGGCTATTAGAACAGGTACCCCTACCCCTATCCCAAGTTGCACCTCAATTCATCTTCAAAAAATCCCTACAGGATCAATTTTATTATTACTCTCACTTTACACGTGAGGAAACTGCAGCCCAGGAGGGTCAAGTAACTCGCATCAGGTCATACAACCAGTAGGGGTTGGGAGTGGGATTCGGGCACTGAATGCTAAGGCGTGCTGCCTCCCCACGGGATAAATTACACAATAAAGCGGCGTGCACCGGCAGGTGACGGGAGGGGCTCACGCTCTCAGCAGTTAAAGGGTGCTACCTTAGTCCAAAGGGCAGCCCGTGACAAACCCACTGCATCTGTGCCCGTGTGGACACAGGGAGATGGGACTGTGGGCTGCCTGAGTGTGTGCAAATGAATGGGGGTCAGGAGAGCAGGGCAGGGGCTCAGAGGCCTGGGGACCTCCGCCCCGGGGTATAACTCTCTCAACATGGAAGTCGTACCCTGAACACGGCGTCGGGGACTCCGACATCCGGACGGGGGGAGACTTGACCGGGCTCTCCTGAGAAGTGTCAAACATAAGGTACAAGGCCTGCTTCTTCGGGGAGTCGTCGTCCTGCTGCAGGGATCAAAGTCACACGTCAGCTCGGCTGCAGTGGCCTAAACACACTACAGAGACGAAAACCAGAGCGCTCTTCAACGGGGACAGATAACTCATTAGGGAGAAGCCTTCATTTCTCTCCAGCCACCCGGAAGAGAGGAGAAAGCGGCGCTGGCTAAGAGAGAGGAGGGGAGGACCGGAGGGAAGAGGAAAGCATAGGAAGGAAGTGGAACCGCGTGCAGCTGGGAACATTTCCGGGGGGGACTGCAATGGTGTTGGTGTGCTACATGCTGCTCAGCCCATCGGCATTTAGGGGCCATCCTCTATGGATAGGCAACCATGCTGGCCACCGAGCATAAACAGAGGGGCAGGCGAGACCCCCCGTCCGGGCGTGGCCCACAGTTGAATGGGGAAGACGGGCATGATGCCCCATTGTGATGAGCGCCACCATCAAGGTTCACTGACTTACAGCAGATGTGGTTTAGAAGCAGCAACACCCCATCTATGAATGATGCAAAGAAAGATAGATAAGAGCAACGTGTCCGGGCTGCTGAGTGTCGCACAAGCCCTCCTGGGCATCTCCACACCTCTGGGGGCATCTCTGGACGACAGCAGTACAAGAGGTCATGTCCAGGACCAAATGCCCCACAGCAGCAGCACATGTTAAGCCAGGGAAGACAGGTGCCCATCATGACAACTCAAAATGAAAAAGAGATGGGGGAAAGGCTTATTGCCCAAAGGGACAATTTTCAGTTCTAGGAAGCAATTAATCTGAAGAAACCAGATAACGGTACACCTTAGACACCACCAAACCACTCCCTCCACCTTTTTTAAAAGAAATCTCTTGACGAGTTCCTTCTCAGTCTAGGAAGTAATTCTGCAGGAAGCCTAACAGCATCCTATCATTTTTCTCCCTGAAAATGGCATCTGAAGTGGATTGAGACAAACCTCAACCCCCCCAGCCCTAGTTCACCAAACTGACCAAAAAACAGGGTGGGAGAGCATGTTCCCTGCTGGCTGAAGGCAGAAGAACTTACAGGTAAGGAGGAACCAATTTTCTCCATATATTCGATTTCATAGGAGTTTCTGTAATCCAACTCTGCAAAAGAAACAGAAGGAGAGGTGAGTACCAGGGTGGGGGGGGGAAATGAAAAGTTTGGGGCTGGGCAGGTGGGGTCCGGAACAAGGCTTTATTTAAGCTTTCTGAGAATGTCCACTGACTGAGATTTCTGATATGGTCAAAAGGGGAGGCTCGACTCAGCTATTTTCAGACAACTGGTAAACCCCTTACCGTAAAGGGGCTTCTGCCATTTGGGGGCCTGAGAGAGTTCCAAGGGAATTAAATGTCATGACCAAGCACGGATTTGACTGGGGAAAGATCTGAGCATTTTGCACAGAGTTTTCAGATCAGACAGTGTGTACACTTTGGGTGTTGCTTTTCTCTGTAAGTCTCACGTGCGATACATGGGACCTTCCCAAGTCCTGGTGACATTTTGGAACTGGACCCACGGTTGCCCATCCAGTTGTCAGAAGCAAGGGAAGAACAGTGTTGCTGTAAGAGGAGCTTTGCGAGTTGTCTAGAATGCTTCCCAAAATTCTGCCAGTGCCAACAGGGCCGGTCCAAATCAAATGTTCAGCTGCAAAGACTACTAAAGTCCAATTTGATGGAAAGATGACCTATTTCAAACTGACCGGAGACTTCAGGCTGCAAAGAAAACTCCAGATACTCTCACTGGATACTAGAAACCCCATTGCCTGCCTCGGTTCCCAGGGCAACTCCAGGTGGAGACCCAGCTCTGCTACTCCACCGAACTCCCTGTCTAGTGAGTAGATTCTGAGCACCTACTATGTGCCTCAGACTGTGCTAGGCACAGTGGATACGGTGATGAACAAGACAGAAGAGGACTCTATCCTTGAAGAAGCCCCAATCCGCAGCTACCAGATGGCTCTTTTCCACTTAAAAAGAAAACCGAGGTGAAATGACCCGCTCAGAAAGCAGCTGTGCAAGAGTGTTAATGGCAATCCCTAAAGCCTCATGCCTTAATTTTTTTAGGTAAAAAATAAATAGCAGTTCTGGTTTAAAGCCCCACATTCCTACATATTCATAATCATATCCAACAGAAGGAATCATTCTTAAAAGATCCTTTAATATGAGCTTTAAAATGAGATATTTCCTCAAAAACTCTCTCAAAACAAAACTGAATACACTCCAGTTCTTAAACCCGTGGATGACTTTTCAGGAATCTCTGACTCTCTGGGATGAAGCAAATGCATCTTTCTGGCAGGCGGGACCTGATCACAGGAATGGAGACAGTTTTGTGGATTAACGACCAGAAGGACCTCATGCGTCCTTAAGGCCCTGACTTGTGCATCACTTGGGAAGAATGGAGAATAAGCCAAATCATATGCTGGGCAGGAACTCAGAGTGTCTGTAACCGTCGTGTGAATCTGGCCCTGGGGTCTGCCTCAACTGAAGACAAAGAAGCATTCGTTTACTAAGACTTACTATCTTTCAAAGGCAGGGGACAGTGAAGGACAAAGTGATTTCTAGGCCCTTTTCTAGACCTGTCACTTTCCGGGTGCAGGACCCCAGAACTATCATTTTATTGCTCTACTAAAGACTGTCTAAATGGAAAAGATAATAGTGAATCAGCTGCTTCCTCCTCCAAGGTATTACTACTATTGCCAAGGCATGATTTAACCCTAAATTATTTCATAGAAACCACACCCCCGCACACCCCACAATGCCACAGAGCACCTGGGATGCACTGAATAAGCTGAGGCCACCATGGAGATGTTCCAGGCCCTGGGGCCCCGCGTCAGTGCCCGCTCTGGTTACCAGCTCTCCTCAGTGTCCCACCTGGAATCTGAGCTCGTTTCCGGGCAGCAGATCTGGGGGGGTTTCAGGTCACTGAGCTCATTCATCTGCCTTCTTTCCTACCTGCCAAGAGGGTCTCAGACCTTCTGAGAAAACATCTTACTGAACTTGGTTTTCAAAATCCCATTCACCTGCCTTAAATTCTAAGCCTTAGAGGGTAGGCTTGGAGAGGGGAGCCACGTCCAATTTTAGCCCCATTTTTCAACTACGCCACACGCAGCAGGCAGGCCAAGAAGGGTAACGCCAGTTATACCAAATGGCTCAACATCTTTACAAACGAGAGAAGAGGCCGCTCGCTAAAGCATGTGCTGCTCCGAGCTGAAGAGGCCAGAAGTTTTGTTTTATTTTGTTTTTTTGGCTGCACCGTGCGGCTTGCGGGATCTTAGTTCCCCGGCCAGGAATCGAACCCGGGCCCACTGCAGTGAAAGCGAGGAGTCCTAACCACTGGACCGCCAGGGAATTCCTCCGAAGTTATTTTTAATGGGTCCTGTCATTCTGAAGGCAATGGGCCTGTGTTTCCATCTGACTCTCATGGCTGGAGCTTTGCTGGGGGATCGAAGGAGCCTGGGTAGAAGCCGGAAGGATGCAACCGAGTCCTGATTGCCATTGCCAGGATCAGGGAAGCCAACTCCCTGACTTCTCTAGGCCCATCGACTTATCCATAAATGGAGCTCAAAGTGCATACATCTTGCAGGGTAAAATGATTTGATGTAAGAGGAAAAGCCCCACAGCTGGTCACGTAAAGGTAAGGGACTGTGACCAGGTCTGTTACTGCTCTTTGCTAATATTTCTGAAACTTTTAACATAAGTGATAAGAGGAGATGAGCCTTTTGGAAGGGGACAAGGACACTGCTCCAGCTTCCTTGGGTGGCCCTTCTACATGCCTGTAGTGTGACAACAATGGTGCCCACCACTGAAGACCAGGTTAGGCTCCTGAGAAGGACACGCCTTCTCTATTGTATGCAAGAGGAGGTGCTGGTGCAGCTGTGTGTACAGGGAGACAGGGTGACCAGCAATGGCCATCCAGACCTTCGAATCTAAAGCAAATACTCCCTCAGGGTCTCAGACCAGAGCTAAGAGGTTTCGGAGGCTCTGTCGTCCAGTGGTTCCTAAACTTTCCATCTCTGGGGATCACATGAACAAGGTTTTCTCTCACGGCACCATGTTTCAAAAGATTGCTCCAGAAAAGGGCATTTGCTAAGCAAGCACTCAAAGAAAGATGTTTATAACTGCCAACCTGAGGTTTAAATCAATGAGAGATTATCAGTGTCACCACAGTGAGCTGATATGATTACAGCCCCCAAACATGCGGTTTTAAACTAGCTGGGCATCTTTCTAACCCAGCTCCACAGGTTTTTTGAAATATTAAGACAACTCGAATCTCTTGTGAACCCAGGTAGGGAAGCACCGATCAGCTCAACATCCTCATTCTACACTTAACGAAAGGAAGTCTGTATGACGCTCACGTAAAGAGCATGGTGGAAAGGAAGAGGCCCTTCGAGTCAGGCAGACCTGGTCCTACGAGAACCAGCCCCTCAACACTCAGCAAATCTTAACAGCTCAAAGCCTCTGCTCCCTCGCTCTTACGTGAGGAAGTGCAGAAATCCACCATCTAGAGCTGGGAGGGTGAAATGAAATCACGTATGTAAAGGCTCAGCAGGGCTACTCCACCAATGACAGCTCCGCCTTATTTTTTTTATTTTTATTTTTTGTGGTACGTGGGCCTTTCGCTGTCGAGGCCTCTCCCATTGCGGAGCACAGGCTCCGGACGCGCAGGCTCAGCGGCCATGGCTCACGGGCCCAGCCGCTCCGCGGCATGTGGGACCTTCCCGGACCGGGGCACGAACCCCTGTCCCCTGCATCGGCAGGCGGACTCTCAACCACTGCGCCACCAGGGAAGCCCGACAGCTCCTCCTTATTACTGTTACTTGGAGAATTCATATTGCAGTGAATGCGTGTCCAAGTGGCAAGTATTATTTCTAACTCAACATTTCATTGTCCTGTGATTTATGACTTCAGTGTAAGAAAGCCTCAATCACGGCTGCAGCACTGGGCAGGCTCTTTCTGGGGAGTACATCTGCACCCCAACCAGGTTCGTGTCTGGTATGGCCGGACGTGACTCAGTAACAGGAGGACAATCCGAGAACAGGGCTCTGCATCCAGTTTCTACATCCAGTTGCTGGAGGGAACCAGGTACATTAGAGAGGTGAATGCAGGCCACACCTCTTGAAACTGAGGCTGTTCTGAATTCACACAGACAATGGATTTCCCATCGCCCACCAGCTATAACTATGGTCAGGACTTCCCACATATTCACACTTTCTTTTTCTTTTTCATTCATTCATTCATTTATGGCTGCATTGGGTCTCTGTTGCTGTGCGTGGGCTTTTCTCTAGTTGCGGCGAGCGGGGTCTACTCTTCGTTGCGGTGCGTGGGCTTCTCATTGCAGTGTCTTCTCTTGTTGCAGAGCATGGGCTCTAGGGGCGCAGGCTTCAGTAGTTGTGGCACACGGGCTCAGGAGTTATGGCTCGCAGGCTCTAGAGCGCAGGCTCAGGAGTTGTGGCTCACGGGCTTAGCTGCTCTGCGGCATGTGGGATCTTCCCGGACCAGGGCTCGAACCCGTGTCCCCTGCATCGGCAGGCGGATTCTTAACCTTGTGCCACCAGGGAAGCCCCACAGTCATTTTCTAAGGAGGCAGGTTTACTAGAGTTTTGTTCCAAACTTACAGATTTCCCTATTTGTGGAACTTTTGCAGAAAACAAACATATCTCAAATATGCCACTAAGCTAGTGAGTGGACTGCTTTAGTTCTAAGTTAAAGATGAAGAAATAGATGTTACCACTGAATGAGGCACCTATTAGCTTAAAAGGTATTATGAAAATAATGCATGTAGGGAATTCCCTGGCGGTCCAGTGGTTAGGACTCCCCGCTTTCACTGCCGTGGACCCGGGTTCAATCCCTGGTCAGGGAACTAAGATCCCGCAAGCCATGTGGCGCGGCCAAAAAAAAAAAAACAAAACAAAGCATGTATTTATTTGGTTCCTGATGGTACAACCACACACACATAGCCCAAAACACACACCTTTTGATTCCTATCTATAATGGCAAGCTCAGTTTGGTTTCTATGACATTTAAAAGTTTCTTATTAAGCCTCAAGAGAGGTGAACCAGCAGGAAACCACAGGTGCTACAAACTGGCCAGGCTCCTGCTAGTCTTCAGCCACCCCCTGCTGCTTCTGGGCTGTCAACACGCCCTCCCCTCCTCCCCCACCCCGTCTCCCTCACACAGGTGGTGACCGATGCAAAGATCAAACTGTGGACACTAAGCTGTCTACCTGCCTAGGCTTCTATTTTCTTTTCCTCACAAAGCTGTCTTTAGCCCTTACGGTGTTCATGGTGCTGTAAGGAAAACAAAGCTGGCTCAGATGGGCTTCCTGTCTTTAAGAAACACACAATCTAGTAGGGAAGCAAGAGATGCACCCGCATCATCCTTACCGCGTTACGTAACCTCAGAGCGAGCTCAGACCAAGCACTGATAGCAGACGGCAGAGGGGCCATGTCCAGGGAAAGGCTGGGAGGAGGCAGGACAAGCCTGGGAGACAGGGAAGCAGGGGGCATCCTGCAGTAGCCTGCAGGGGAGCTGAGCAGGGGCGTCCCAGGGGGAAAGTGGTTCCATCCAGTACAGTCATGGCTCAGGGGTGTGTGCACAGAGGAAAAGGAGGACTGAAGAACGCTGAGGCCAGGCCTGGGCCCCTGGGGTCAGGTTGGAGTGAGATGGTCACTCTTAAGCCTCCCAAACCCCTAGCCAGAGGGCCAACCAGACAACCAACCAAAGGCTCCATTATGCAGAAAATACAATGCTCGAAAGTCCAAATACTCGTAATTTGGATTGTCTTTTCATCATCAAACTAGAGAAAGGCATTACAATAAGATAAGCACCCAAAATCCCCCAAAACTTGAAATGGATCTCACTGGTACCATTCAGAGACCTCGTGGGCACAAAGCAAGCCGCCAAGAAGCCTGATCATACAAGAACCTCCAGAGGAAGCATTCCTACTTACAATTAAAAGTTACCTCGGTTACAGCCCTGCCCTGCCCAGGCAGGGGCAGGAGGCTGTCTGATGGAGATCATGGTTTCTTCTTAGCAGCAAAGAAGCGGAGATAAGGTTTCCCTGTAGGACTGTCCTCATATTGAATTCTACACAGTTTTTAAAAATTCCTAGAAATCAAGATCTTGGAAAGGGAAACTTAGAACCATGCCAACAGCCCACAGTGCTGGAATGACGGCCCAGTACTAGGCTCACAAGCCCCACATGGTGGTGGGTGGAGGAAAGGCCCCAGGAGGACTAGGAATGCAGGGTACCATCACACCTGGAAATGGACTAATCCCTCGCAGGAAGGTTCTAGCTGCTGACTTAAGATACATGCATTTTTCAAGCTGAAGAATCAGGCAGAAAGCTGAAAGTGGGTGTACGTAAGGGGAAGGAAGATACTAATGAGATAAGTGACTTGCTTGGGGCCTATTCAGAAGGACTCAGTCCTCTTGTTGGCAAGCCTGGGGGGAACCTCTGGTGTGGGGCTTAAGCAGGTGCTGGTCACACTGTGGGACGTCCCGTGGGGCCGATGAACAGTGGGCTAAGAGACCCCACAGGCAGGTTGACGTACCGTGAGCATTTGACTCAAAATCATCAAGGGATGTAAGCCATACAGCCAAGAAGGTGCAAAGCTCAGGTGAGCTCAGGACCCAGAGTTAGAGAGTTCTTTGCAGGCTCTCAGCAGGTGCCCCGGGGTCACTGTTCAGCTGGTTTCAAGCCTCGGGCTGTTTCAAAAGGCAGCCTGAGATCGGGGTACACCAGGAGATGGCAGCCAACAGCACGGTTACCTGGCTTAGAAGTTTCTTTCCTGGCCTTTTGCCCCCTAGGTGCAGTGGTCTCCAAGGCAGAGTGGTGGTCCAGTCGGCCACCGAGTTGCTTACCCTCCGTGGGTGAATTGAATTTGGTCTCGTTGACGAAGGTGGACAGGTCCGAGGGCTGCGGATAGTCCTGTTTGTCAGCCTCCAGGTCCACCGTCATGCACGTCCACTTCTGGTTGGTGACCGCCAGCTTCTCCTCGTCGGTTGCGTGGACCACCGCGGAGATCACGGGCGGCGTTTCCGGCGTGGCCACGGGGGTGGGGTCCTACCAGGAGAAGGGAAGCTGTCTCTTCTCTTGTCCAGCCTCCGTGCCCACCCACAGAGGTCTGGGTCCCCCTCACCAGGACCGGTCCCTGTCAAATTCCTCTGCTCAAAACAGTCCCAAGGACACAAAGTCTTTCCACTATGTATTTCTTTTTCTGATGGTTTGTTTCAGGGGGTGATGAGCGTGGGTTTTAAAAGAATCAGGATTTTGTGTCTTGGTTATTTGAGATACTCCTGCCCATTCACTTTGAGAAAAATAAGGCAGCTTTTACTACGGGCACGTTTATGAAGGCAACTAAAGCGTTACGCCCACATAGTGCTTCAGGCTTGTACATCAACATCATCAACGCTGCCTGACAATCCTCACGCCTGACACGGGAGGGAGAGAGAGGGGGGTCTCATCTCCATCTCCACAGAGGGTGTGCAGCTGAGCAGGGCAGGGTGGGAGCCCAGAAATGTTACAGCAGAGGTGGCATTGGACCCAAGACCCCTCTCGCGGGGCTGGGCACCTCTCTGCAGCCTCGCCCTGCCCAGGGTTGGCTGGCTAGGGCTTTGCTTGTTTTATGACCTTGAATGGCCTGGCACATACTTCAGGATACCCTTCTTGGTCTGTAAACAGGGTAGAAGAAATGGCATATATTTGGCAGAGGAACTATAGGAAGAGGGAGGCAGGGACTCGTATGAAGAAAGAGCCCAAGCTGCCACTTCTGCAGGGGATGAAAGCCCTTTATCTCCCCATCCTGACCCTGGTTACATAACCCAGGGTTCCTGACACATATTCATTTCTTTCTCACTATATATGCGTTTATCTCAACAGACTTCCGCAACTTGATATTCAAGTTAAGTTCTCAGCAGATTAACTGGCCAAAATGGACCAGCACGACTCCCATAGAATCCAACTGACATTTTTCCTGAACATCTGCCTATTCCTGGGACATACTCTGATGTTTCCCCAAGGAAAGGGATCAGAACAATGTCTTGCAAACACTAAGGACCATCCATGTAGGAGGCAAGGAGAGGGGCATGATAGAAAAGAAAACTCTATTGACTAATGGGGAATAAAAACACATCAGCCTTATCTTCCCGAGTGAGGGATAAAATCACAAGTATCAAGGGAACATTATACCTGAGAAGGTGGATCAGAGAGAGGAGACCGTTTTGGCGACTTTTTCACCCTAAATGTGTCACTGGAAACAAAATGGAAAATGTAAACACAACAGACAGAGGCACAGAACATTCCAGAGCCGACTGAGGCCCAGAGCGTCTGACTGCTGAGTATCTGACCCAGACCACCCTCCAGTCTACACCACTCCAACACCAAGTGAAAGACGTCCACACCGACAATCCATTCCGACTTTTTAACAGATATTATTATTGCCCCCGAGGGAAAGAG